CCTGACTAAACACAGAGATGCTCTTCATGTTGATTTTATCAGTGGGAGATATGAGGTCAGATCTGTGCAGGTCACCTCCTGACAAAACATAAAAGACAAAACTCTCATTATTAGCACTTTTTTTGATACACAATGCACTAATGCGTTCTCCAAACTATAGGTTTGACTTAAGGATGTGGAGCAGAGATGGAGTTCCGGACTCCTGACATCTGCAGAGACACCAATGAGGGGGACGGAGTACCTCCTACTGCAGGAAGACCAGAGAGGAACTCAAACCTAAGGGAAGGACCCTAGATATGTAACATGATATAGCATGTCATGAAGTTTCCAAACCCCGCTAGGAAATCCAAAGACGCCTGGAGAAAATGAGACTTGTGTGCTCCACTGCCCCAATGACATACTGTAAGCAAAAGCCACCAGGCAGATAATCGATCAGGGCGAATCCCGGTCTTCACCACCCGAGAGTACAAACAGAGCTCAGGAGCTTCTGTGTCAAACCTCTCAATTTTATCCAAGTGGTGATAGTTTGAAAATACACCAGGGAGAGGGGGCTACTTTAATTTTAGAGTGCCTGAGAGTTTTGGAAATCTAATACGCTTGAGCTAATTATAAAGTGTTTAGGAAGAGCATATATTGGTCTCTGGTGTTATAGATTTGCAGTTAAATCGTAAGCACCGGCTCTGCAAATGTGTGCAATGCTAAGATGGTCTCCAATGGTTTTAAGCAATCAAGAGACGGATGCAGAGATGATTGTTTAATCGCATCAGTGCAAAACCACAGGGCAACAAGTTCAGGTGTACGTTTGAGATTACAATAAAGAGAAGATACTTCAAATCTTTAAATCTTCAAAACAGTCCTGCTAAAAAAAACAGTTAAGAACCATCTTGAGGACATTAGCACAGCATCCCATCCAAAACCCAACATACGCTGGCCTGTTTTATCACCATTAAAGGATTCAGCAAGTCAAATACATTTGAGTGCTTGCAGCAGCCAATAAAGTGTCTTTATAATAGCAAATCACTGGATCTTTACCTCTAGCCATTGACGTCCTCATTGCATTGCCTGACTTGCTCTCTCGCTCAAACTGACAGCCGAGCTCACAACTACTGCTGTTGCTTTTGGCAGTTAAACTCAAACCAATGCTTTAATGCTCACCAGGGTGAAAGTTAAACAAACAATTCAAACACGATGTTCCAGGACACATATTTTCCATGAGCCAATATGATTTTTCACATAAAAATTCAACGGTCAACAATGAAACATAAAAACATAATAATTCGGACTTTTTAGCTTAATGGCTTTAACACACTAAAATAGTCCATAAGAACAGTGAACAGTCATTGCCTTCTGTCATTAAATGCAATAGTGCAGCACTAACCATTAACGTAAAATCCATTTGCCATTGATCCAGTTTCACTCACAACATCCATGTCCACGAGCTATGATAATAAAAGTCCATTAAGTAAAACCAGAAGCTGCATTACTCTTTGGGATAAAGAGATTTCACATGCCTGGTAGAGATTAGAGCTGCAATAATGATAACTTGAAATAAAATATACACGACTGTGGTCAGTAAGATTTTTTTAAATGATGTTAAAAGAAGACTATTATGCACACCAAAGTTGCATTTATTAGTAAAACAGTAATATTGTGAAATATTTTTACAATTTAAAATAACCGTTTTCTATTTTAATATATTTTAAAGGGTAATTCATTTCTGTGATCAAAGCTGAATTTTCAGCATCATTACTCCAGTCTTCAGTGTCACATGATCCTTCAGAAATCATTCTAATATACTGATTTGCTTTTCAAGAAACATTTACTACTCTTATCAATGTTGCAAACATTTGTGCTGCTTAATATTTTTAACACCGTACCGTAATACACTTTTTTCAGGATTCTTTGATTAAAATAAAACAGTATTTATTTGGAATAGAAAAATCTTTTGTAACAATGTAATTTCTGTGACAATCAATTTAATGTATCACTGCTAAATAAAAGTATTATTATTTTTTAATTTGACTATTTATTTACTATTATGCTATTCAGCAGTGTTAAATTATTCATGCTTTAAATGAGCATCAGATGATGGCAAATGTAATCTACCTAAAATATGGCAGCCTGTGTTACATTATACACATATGAGAGCAAAGAGAAAACATGGATTTATGTGAAAATACAGAGCGGGATGTGCCTAAAGCAGATAACAAGCAGAAGAACTTGTTATTAAGCAACTGTTTCGCTAAATACAGAATTAGAACACATCCACCCCGTCAATCACATGTCCTCTCTCAAAACCCTGCCTTTCAAAGATACATGTCTGGTAGTATGGATTTTTATTTCATGGTATTCCTGAAACTTATAACTGCACAAAATCTAGTAACCTGTCTCTGCTGACGTCTGACCTCAGTTAACCATTACATAAAGCTTCCGGTTTGGCTGTAAATTAGCTCGGTTGGCTGAATAACATTTGAAAGAATTAAAAGAATACAGCAGCTGTATGCGATCCGGCTTGATTTAATTTAAGAGGGCCACCAAAAACGGCTGTTGGACAAATGCTCGAATACATTGAGATTCCTCTCACAAATTAACCATACGGAGTCAGGGAACAAAACACATTACAATAGGATCATTGTTGCACCCATTCATTTCTAAACAAACAGAGCTTGGACCAAATGAGGCCAGATCCATAATTAAACTAAGCTAAGATTCTGCACTGAATCCACTGTGTCCTTTAATAATGGAAAACCATGGGGACACCCAGAAGAATGAACTCAAACCTGAACAGTTAGAACTCAGAACAAACATTAAAGCATAAAGCGCTGCTCTGGAAAAACATACTAGAAACGTAGATACAATGATGTGGTTTCCATGCCAACTACAAAGGCACAGATTTAAGCTCCACCCATTTCGAGAAGAGGGGAGCCAACTATGCATGGCATGAATCCCAAGAGCTGACAATGATAAAGCTTTTACTGAGCATGCTAAAACCTTTTTTTCTAAGCCCACTGTTGATGAAAAGGGCATAAAGTCTGTTTAGAGTTGTATACAACCTGTACAAATATACACTCGTACTGGTGTGCACATGTGGTTTGGAGCAGTCCAACCAAGTTTCGACACTCTAGTGAAAAAAAGGAGGTCTTACACTCAAGAAGTACAACACCCTTCGATTTTATGATCTTTCAACCGAAGAAAAACCTGAGCCTAGTAAGAAAATGGGTTTGACTTCCTCTTGTCCTTACTGGCCCAAAGTCAAAAGTGAGATTTGTCTGGACAAAAATACTTACATAATCAAGCATGCTCCTAATCCACACACTGCCAGCACTTCCAGTCTCTTTTTCAGCTCTGTTTCTTGAGGAAATGGTTCTATTCTGAGAATCCTGACCGGAACATCCCAAAGGAAACAGCCCTGTGACCTCGCTGCATATGTCTATGTCAAGTATCAAAGCACCAAATGTGCGAGAAGTTTACTGGCACCAGATTTCAATGCGGTCACGCTGTGGAGCGGCACCAATACGACAGTACAGCATTCCCGTTAAACTGTTATTATCACTGAGTATTGTAAGCAAATTATATAACACCAATGGTGCAAAAAAGGACTTTGTAAGAGTTCATGCTGAGGCCTAGTAAGCTGATAATAAACAATGTTATATAAAAAATGATCAGATGTGATCTGTGACCACATACATCATCCCAGATAAATTCATTAATGGAGTTCTGATAGCCACAAGACAAGTGGCTGTTCATGTCGCTATGATATCGAGATGAAAATAAATCTCATAAAATGTAATAAACTGAAGAGACAGTAAAGATTGTAATACATGTTTTAAAAAAGATTGTAGCAAGGTCACTTTAAATGGTGTCAATTTTGTTAAAAACAAATGACAAGATCCAAATGATAACAATTAAGTCATTTACTTGCCCTCATGTCTTTTGAAACCTGTATGACTTTATTTCTTTAGTGGAACACAGAAGGAGACGTCCAGCAGAGTGTCCAAGCTGCTCTTTTGCATGAAATTAAAGTGAAAGGGGACTGGTGTTGTCATGATATAAACTCGCAATTCTGAGGGGGGAAAAGTCAGAATTGAGACTGTGAGATATAAACTCACAATTGGCACAAAAAAGAGAGAGAGAAGGGGGTCGCAAATTGCCTTTTTTATTTTGTATTCTGTGGCAGAAACAAAAAGACTCCTGAAATAAAAAGGAAGAATTGTGAAATGAAAACTTAGAATTGAGATGTAAACTCAGAAATGCAAGAAAAACGTAAGAATTCTGAGTTTGTATCTTACAATTCTGTTTAGATCTCATAATCCCCAGAACTGCGAGAAGCAAAGTCTGAATTGTGAGATCTTTTTTGTATACCGTAGTGGAAACAGGCTTCCATACCATTCACTTTCACTGTCCGGAAAAGAGCAACTTGCACATTCTGTTAAAAACAGCTGTTTTTGGTGTTCAGAGGAAGAAAGGAAGTCGTATGGGTTTTGAAGGACCTGAGGGTGAGTAAACAATGACAGAATTCTCATTCTTACCTGATTCTTGATAAGTGCAGCAAAAGAAATTAGATTTGCAAGGCTAAATAAAATATCTTATCTTACAGCAAACTACATCTAACGTGAAAAATTGCATACTGATCTAACAGCATACATGTTTACATTTTAATCAAACAGGCAGAACAAAAATAGCTAAAAAGCATAAAAGAGATGCCCCAAAAAATTGGTGCTATATCAGGAAAACCCTTCCTTTAGTAGTGTTTAGAACTGCTATGTTTTCTGGACACCCATCTCTATTGGCTTAGGTTTGTTTGTAAGCAAAACAAACAAGGAACTGTAAGTGACTTCACCCATATAGTGAGAAACATTTGTAATAGCCACAAACAAAACATAACTGCTCAAAAACAATCCCGACCGAGGCTGATAAATTATGGGAGCAGCAATGAAAACAAAACACCTGATCCTACAGGCTCTGGCCATCTGCAAAGAGAAATAAGAAGAACACTCTACCAGATAATCCATGTAATTCCTCGATAGCTTCTGGCTGTTGTCTCCGGAAAACAGAAGTCCTGAGATAAGGCGACTATGAAATGAAACGCTGCTGTTAATTGAATGCATCCAAAAGTCTCGATTTATTATTTTTTGACGGCTTCGGCTTTGGATCCCCCTCCTCTCAGATGTGGAAAATCATTTATGAATAAAGCGGCTAGCAGCGTTAGCTGTGCACTCCTCTTCCTCTGTAAATCCCGCGCACAATTATGTGAATAAAACAAGTCCTGGTAAAAAATTTAAAAAGTCCAGGCTTTTTAATACATTCAAAACATTACTATATATTTCGCCATATAAGTGGTAATACTTCCGACTCAGATGTATGCGCGGCGAATGCACTAGTTTAATGGTGTGGGCGGAGAGAGGCGCTGTTTGTTGTGTGTTCGCGAGCCATGATCGTAGAAGCACGTCTGAGCGATCACGTGATCGTAGATCGCATCTGAGAGCTTGTGAACATCACGTGACAGGGAACTGACGGTCCCAGATATTTGCTTGACGGTGCCCTCTACTGGTTGAAGTAATGTATTACTCTTCAGGAAGACTGACGGGATGCCTACACCTAGTGTGTTGTGTAATCTGAGATCACACGTCCATAGAAACGTGTCCTGCTCGTATTCTGAGTTTCTTTCATGATGCATAACTTTCCCAGATGTGCGTCTGCAAGTCTGTTAAAGATCATCTGGAAAGCATCTGCTGTGTACAAACATCTGATAGACGTCTTTAAGGTGTCAGTTTTGCATACATTCATAAACATCTTAAAGACATTTTCTAAACGTCTATTTGACGTCTGATAGGAAACGTCCTTTGGACATATTGCAGATGAGCAAACACTCTAACATATATATATATATATATATATATGGCTTGCAGTTGTAAATACAGCCGTCAAATAGACATCTCCGTGATGTTAGGCTACTTGTGCTATCAAATATAAAATACACATATTTATCATTTTAGTACAGAATCAATTAAAGTAGATTTAAGGGAAGGTAAAAACACACACAAATACATTTTGTTTATGCTAAACAGTTTGACCAGTGGCCTGATACTCATTTTGGTGAACAGGCCATAACGACACAGCGCATTAAAATTACACTTTAGGCACAAATAAAGTTCACATGTTAATTTGCTACCTGGTATAAACACTTAGTGCACAGTTATGTGAAAGTGAATCAAATGAATTGCACACTTTTAGATGACATGCATGTTAGACAACCCAGCGGGCACCTTGATATCAAATATTAGTCAAGACTTGCTTGTCAAGATGCTGCAACATCATTTTAAATTCCATTTGGACAGCAATTTCTTCCAGTGGTAATTGGGTTCAAATAGGATGTTAATCCCAAACTTAAACTGGTTTAATGTGTAGGTATAAGCCAATATGTTTGACATCCAATTTACATCAAATCAACGTCATGTCAGGTTTTTGTCAGCTTGATTTGCAAATTTGATATGCCCACTGGGAAAGCTTGAGAAGTATTTTTAACATTTATATGTGTCTATCTATGTGTCGATTATATTAATTTCGGCACAGTGACTTGTATGACAGTTTAGGTCTTTAGCAATTTATACACTTTCAGGCAATTAAGTATGTTGGTAATCTTTTTAATCAACGCATTATCTCCTTAACACCCAATCCAGGCTAAGTGAACTATCAAATACTTTTTTTTTTTTTTACAAAGCACAAGAGAAAAATAGTCTACACTTGAAAATATTTGTATTCAGTATTCAGTTAAGAGTCATTCTTACATTATATGTTTAAAATGGTTTAAGACATATTAATGAACATGAGCATGATATAGTATGACTAATAATAAAGTTATCAAATGTAATGAAATGTAACGATGCGTTAATAATAACAACATATAATGACTTGAAAGATAACACTAGATGAGACTATGCTGGTTACAGTCAGTGATATTGCTGCATGCAGGGTCAGGGGGGTGTATTCGTGACCCCGGGCTGATTATTCTGATGGGCTCCACCCTCGGTTATTCTGCCCCGCAGCGCAGAGCGCATTCAGCGGAGACGGGCAGGCGTACACGAAACCCACTGTTTCAATACTCTTCCGAGAGGATTTTCCAACTGTTTTCACAGGATAATGTCTTCAGACGTGTTTTGGTAGAAAACAGAGAGCGTAAATTCATGAAGAGGTTGATTTAACGGGACGGCGCGGAGGAGAGTGTATTGTAACTTTGCAAACTGAGTTTGCAAAGCGTTTCCACACAACTATGGCGCTCAGAGCGAGAGCTTTATACGAGTTTATCTCTGAAAATCCCGGCGAGATCTCTGTGACAGAGAAGGAACTTCTAACTTTGAGCAGCGAAGAGGTTGTCGATGGTTGGTTGGAGGGCACGAACAGCAGAGGTGAGACGGGACTCTTCCCTGCATCATACGTGGAGATTATAAGCACCGACACATCACTACACGGTAACGGGACGTCCTCCAGTCAGGACTATTACTGCCAAACTAGTCCTCAGAGGAGGGACACCTCAAATGAATCGACTCCCACTCATTCTGCTGTTTACCAGGGACATCTTCAGCAACAGCGACACAGTTTTCAGACGAGCCAGGGAAGCGACGAGGATTGGGACGATGACTGGGATGACAGCGGAACGGCGGATGAACACAGAAGAACACCTGGAAAACGCGGGAATCAAGCGGGATATCCCATGACAAGCACCTCAGCTTCTCCACGTGGTAGTGCGCAACAGTCCAAAAGCACAGGAACAGTTGGGAAAAATCTCAATAGGTTTTCAACCTTTGTAAAGTCAGGCGGTGAGGCGTTCGTTTTGGGTGAAGCTTCAGGTTTGGTCAGAGATGGAGACAAAATATTTGTGGCTATGGGCCAGTACGGTCCCGAATGGCAAGAGAACCCGTATCCGTTCACTTGCACTATCGACGATCCCACAAAACAGACCAAATTCAAAGGTATGAAGAGCTATATGTCCTACGGACTCACGCCTAGTCATACTCAAACCCAGGTGAATAGAAGATACAAGCACTTTGACTGGCTTTATGCACGGCTTGTAGAAAAATTCCCTGTCATTTCGGTTCCTCACTTGCCTGAGAAACAGGCCACGGGTCGATTCGAAGAGGATTTCATTTCGAAGAGGAGGAAAGGTTTAATATGGTGGATGAATCACATGACAAGTCATCCTATTTTATCCACGTGCGACGTTTTCCAGCATTTTCTCACCTGCAGCAGCAACGACGAAAAAGCTTGGAAGCAAGGCAAGCGAAAGGCTGAGAAGGACGACCTAGTCGGTGCTAACTTCTTCCTCACTATCTGTCCTCCAGCTTTACCGCTTGACTTACAAGAGGTGGAAAGCAGTGTAGATGGTTTCAAAACGTTCACCAAAAAAATGGACGAAAACATCATACAGCTCAACATCACTATTAACGAATTTGCCAGAAAGCAGATCACTGGTTTTAAAAAGGAATATCAGAGAGTTGGACAGGCTTTCAGACTTCTGAGTCAGGCCTTTGAATTCGACCAGCAAGTATATTCAGCTCCATTAAACGAGGCCATGACACACACTGGAGAAGTCTACGAGACCATTGGGGATTACTTTGCAGAGCAGCCCCGTCAGGATTTGGAGCCAATTTCCGATCTTTTAGCGATTTACCAGGGCCACTTTGCAAACTTTCCAGACTCACTGGTTTTAAAAAGGAATATCAGAGAGTTGGACAGGCTTTCAGACTTCTGAGTCAGGCCTTTGAATTCGACCAGCAAGTATATTCAGCTCCATTAAACAAGGCCATGACACACACTGGAGAAGTCTACGAGACCATTGGGGATTACTTTGCAGAGCAGCCCCGTCAGGATTTGGAGCCAATTTCCGATCTTTTAGCGATTTACCAGGGCCACTTTGCAAACTTTCCAGACATTATCCATGTTCAAAAAGGTTTGGGATATTTCTCTTGTGTTCTCAAAACTGCTTGTCAGAATGGCATGCCATAAAATATGGATTTAGGTCAGTAGGTCGGTAGATTATGTACATGCCATCAGTTTAAAGAAGTGATGCCACCATATGTTAAGTTAATATTTAAGTGGAAACCTCAAATCAGAATCATAAACTGCTATTTCATGAAACTAAAGAAGCATCTTATTCATACTGAAATGGATGGATGGTTTTCTAACAAAGGCAAGCTGCTGATGTAAAATGGTTTTGCTTTTTCTGAACTTTTTGTACCTAATAGCAAATGGCACATACCAATAGGTTATCGGCAGTATGTCAAATGACATGTCCTGATTTCTCTCTGGTGTGAGAGAGGGTGCATATGAGGCCTGCTAGCTCTCGCAGCTTGAAATGTGTGTTAGTATGGTGGAATGATGCCAACCCTGTTGTAATTTCCACATCCCTTTAGTGGGGGAAGTGTATACTTCTGACTAATCTATTTTTCCTTTACTGTGACATGAAATTGACTGATGTCATTTCTGTAGAATCATATCTCTGGGTTTATATGACGCACATAGTTAATGCGGTTTTGAATGAGAAAGCTAGCCTACAAAAAAACATCTGATGCTGGGAAAGCTTTTATTTTGAAGGCTTTAATCCTAAAGTTAGGGCCCCAGCACAGGGGTAGCTGCGAATGCTTACACCACATTTTAACACAGAGACATAGTTATTCTGATGCCTTGGATGTAGAAACACATATTTTAACTAAACATTTGATGTACTGTATGTGACTGTCTTTTTAAAGTCAATGTGAATCTGCGTTCACACCTTATTCTACTTCAGTAATCAGAAATATCGCAGAGTGAAACGTGATATTTGGCGAGAAAACAAATGTAGGCCAGGATTTATTTCCATCTGGAATTGATTGGATCATGACAAGTATAGGTGTTACATATCAGAATGGAGCCCGGTTGGAGGGGAGGGATTGAAAAGCAAAAGGTATTTGTCAGAAGAAGACAGAAAAATATTTTCAAAGGCAGAGCAAGTTATTATATTTTGATACAAGAATCCAATGCCAAACTTTTTTATTATCGAGTCGTCCGCAATAGGACCAGGAACTTCAAATTAGAAAGTAAGTAGAGTTCATTTCAAGATGACTTAAAGTGCACAGGGAATATTGATTTCTCCTTGAGAAATTCCAAAGAGAGCTGAAAGCCATAAATCAGAAGCCTGACTGGTCGGACCTTGCATTTTAATGTGTTCAAAATGAAAAAGCTCTCAAAGAGTGCATGTGTGTGTGTTTTTGCAGATGTGATTCTGTGTTGTAGACTTTAATACTTTAGCTAAACCATTGCTTTCCTTGTTTTTTCGTCTTTCTGTTCACTTCTGTCTTTCACCAGGAGCCCTCACTAAGGCCAAGGAGAGCCAGAAACACGGGGAGGAAAAAGATGGCATTGCAGGTGGAGGCATCCACGACCGCTGCAACATCATCTCCTGCGCTACGCTAGCTGAGATCCAACACTTTCATCGCATTCGTGTGCGTGACTTCAAAGCACAGATGCAGCATTTCTTACTGCAGCAGATCAGCTTCTTTCAGAAGATCACAGGCAAGTTGGAGGAGGCCTTGCACATGTATGATCAGGCTTAGGAGCTAACATTCCCAGACTGTTGTGAGAGAACTGAAATAAAACACAAATAAGCAGCCTTTTTTATTATAGATTCATGAAAATACACTTATTGTCTTGTAGGAGTGTTTGGGGTGGCTTTGAGAACAAAAATGATGAAATTGACAATGGTCCTGAAAATGTAGACTTTATCATTGAGTAAAATACTATATAATATGAATACACACAAGTCATAATTGATTTGATTTGAGTTGAAACACAACCACAATTTTAAGTTTACATTTTAATTGGCTTAGTTGTAGTCGATGTAAACTACATAGATTACTCACTTATAGTTGTGTGCCTGTACTGATATGCTCTTTATCAGTGGACTCATTGCATGGACTTGGACCTGTGGTTATGTTAAATAAGAGTAGATTTGAAGGCATTTGTGTCTTTTGAACTGTCCTCTGATTCCAGTGAATTTTAATACAGATATAAAGATACATAATGCATTTGAATGTCTTATTGTGTCGGTCTGTCAAGTATGGTTCTTTATGATCCTTGTCAGTCTCTGCAAGTTACACTTTTATTAACCTTTATCTAATCTGCTCTGAGGGAGAGGCCTGTGTCTGTTTTACATTAAGAGTTTGCAAGAGAAAGACGAGACACATTTTCTCAACCCTGGAGGAGAAGTGCAAAGGAACAATGACCTAGAAAACATGGGCTGAAACCTCCTTATCTAGAGGACATTCCAGACGAGGCAGAGGGGATCACTCACAGTACTAGTTTACTAGCAATTTCATTATGCAGTTTAGATTTTTTCTTCCTTGTTACAGAGTAAGTATTTTAGTTAGTTTAACTACAGCAAATGAGAGCTTAGTGGATATATTTTAAGAGCTCAAGACCATTACCAGCTGTATGAGGATGAAAAATTGAAGTGAAACCTTAAAAATGGAACTGTGGTTCTCAAACTCTGGACCACTGGTGGTCCGTGAAAGATTCCCAGTGGTCTGCCAGTTGTTATTGGCTGGTTTAACAAAACAGACTTTAATTTCAATATGTATTTGACAAAAAGCACAAACATTGAAATAATCAACCAAATAATCAACTCATAGCAATTAATTATGAGTAATACAACAATCAACTGTTTGTGTTAACATAAATGTTGACAAATTATTTCTGTTGTCTCACTTCGATAATATAACTCACGTCAATGTAAGTAAATGTTCATTCCAAATTTTTAGCTTGCAAATATTTGACTTGTAAATTCAGTAACAGTAGTGGTCTAGTCCATTTCAAAGAAGAACAAAAGCAAACTGGTGAAAAGGGTGACCAATCTATAAAAAAAGAATAAAAGCTGAAAAATAATCAACTATCAATAAAGAGTAGCATGCTCAGCCCTCAGAGCTCCAATCAAATGACCTCTTGAAGCAGATTGTACCATTATTAATTTCTGTGCTTACTAGGGGGGAAAACCAGAGCTGTCCGGAGCAGTCAATCTCTCACTGCGTTTGAATTATTTATCAGAGTAAATTCAGTAACAGTAGCGGTCTAGTCCATTTCAAAGAAGAACAAAAGCAAACTGGTGAAAAGGGTGACCAATCTATAAAAAAAGAATAAAAGCGGAAAAATAATCAACTATCAATAAAGAGTAGCATGCTCAGCCCTCAGAGCTCCAATCAAATGACCTCTTGAAGCAGATTGTACCATTATTAATTTCTGTGCTTACTAGGGGGGAAAACCAGAGCTGTCCGGAGCAGTCAATCTCTCACTGCGTTTGAATTATTTATCAGAGCTAAAGTTAGGCTTCTCTGTCCACACACTCAGGTCCTTAATCATGAAGAATTTATTCCCACACCCTGATCACTAACAAGCCCACACATATTGCGCATAAAACAATGCTAAGAAGAAAAAGAAGGACTACACTGTTCATTTGTGTTTTTATGAACCACTGTTTTGGTGCTATATTAATTATCAGTAATGTAATGCAATGCATAACTACACTACTATGTTATATACTGTGTGAATAAATATTTATTTGTTATATTTCAAAAGGATTATAGAAAAAGCAATAATTTTATTATAATTTCAGATTTATACATGTAATGACAATACTTTTTACATTAATATATCTAAACTCAGAGATACTTTATCTGCCACACAGACACATACATGTAAACATTCATAAATCTGTAGCCCATAGTAAATTACAAGATAACAAATACAGATTGTCATATTTCACTTCAGAAGAATATAAAATAATTAAAAAGAGATGTGGGTCTGAAGCATATTCATCATTGAAGCAAACTAGGCGTTACAGAGTGTTTGAATTATTCACCTTTCGATAGCAACACATTTCTTTTGCATATCTTGCTAATGCAATCTTGATAGGAATGTAAAAATTGTGGTGCAATATTTCTGAGGGTGGATTTGTTTTTGTGGTAAGCATAATATTTTTAAATTTAGACACTTCTTTAAAAAGCACCTTTGAGTAGTTTCAGTTCTCTCTTCAATTTCATTACATTCTAACAGACTTCAGAATGTCTACAGCAAATGTTACCATATAAATAAACATAAGGCATTGGGTTACAGCATAAATCTATAGTGTTTTTTTTATCATTTAGAGAGGAAATGTGAAAGAAATATTCAGTTTAGTTATCTTGTAGAAGTAGTAGTTATTCTATATCTTGCACTTTATATAATTACAAATAAACTGAACGATAAATCTTTACCTTCTCTAATTCTACTTACCTGTAGGCTTAAATGTAATAACAATACTATTATTTAAGCAATCCTATAATCATTAAAACAATAATGACCTATATCAGAATTTTATAAAACCAAGAACATTTTATGTAAACGCTTCAAGATACGTATTATATATATATATATATACGTATCTCATATATATATGGTGTTTGCTCTCTAAAACATTTTTTCTAATTGTAGCCCATTATGAGAGAAATGTGCAAAAACCCATTGTTTGTCACTGGGGTAGTTCCCTCAAAGGTGTACTTTTGTACCTTATCTACCCATAAAGAGTGCATATAAGTGCTAATAGTTTTAGAGAAGGTACAAAAGTGTACCTTTCAAGGTACTGCTCAGTGACTAGCTAAATGTACCATTTCTGCACATTCTTTTTTCCGACAATGTAATTTAATAATAATAATTTATGCATTTAGCAGATGCTTTTATCCAAAGCAGCTTACAGTGCATTCAGGCTATACATTTTTTTACCAGTATGTATAATGGAAAATGTAACTGCAAAATATTGTAACCCTGTAATACGATTTTGTGGCTATCTGTGTTTTGTAAGAAACAAAACAAAACAAAAACAAACTATCAAAACCACAAAAACATCTGAGCTGTGGCAAGACAAAACTGAAACAATAGGACTAACATAAAAAATGAATGTTAAAATTATAGTTACTTGGCGATCTTTCCCTTGATACTAAGCCAAGAGACTTTCAGTGTACAAGGTTAAAAACCAAATTCTAGCAATAGTATGATTAGATATTTAAGTTTCTCAGTGTATGGTATGAAACTTAGAAGCTTACTTTCTTCTGCCAGTAATGCTAAGATTTGGCTCAGATGATGGTCATGCACAGTGATAGTTCACAAATTTGGTTCAAGCAACATCTGGATGTGATAAAAAGAGTTGAGTCAAACCCAGTGTTGGTTTTGTTTAAGGGATGGTGTTGTTGGTGAACATTGCTGGGCAGAATCAGGGTTAAGTGGACTCCATGTGCAAAGGAGAAATGGAGACACAGCTTGATCAATTGCTGGCATCAAGGCTGCGTCATGTACTTCCTGTAAAACAGGACTACCAGGGCAACTCGGAGTGAGTGGGGTTACTATAACCGAAGGAACAGTGAGACTTCTCTCAGGCTGACCCAGATACGGGCCTCTGGCTAAAATATCTTCACCAGGGTTCCCCGTCAATTCTTGTATCATTGCCGGGTGGGCCCGCTTTTCCCTGCGGTGCCGGAAGACAAGTATGAGAACCACAAGAATAACAATCAGGAGAAGGCAGGCCAGAAGTGGCAGGATAATGAGCAAGGGATCAGATGCAGGTCTCGGTAAAGACTCCATCCTAACTAAAGTATTTTTCGTGGAGGGGTCCAACTTGCCCATGGTGGTACGGGGCACATGAGGAACCGTAGATCTGCTTCGTGTGTGGTTCCCCCCGCGGTTTCGAGGTTTCAGCTTTGAAGCAGTCCTGTGTGGTCTTGATGGATCTATGTGAACATTTGCTGTTCTGTTCAAAGTCGGCAACTTGGTCGGTTCTGAAAGCATATGCTTCCCTGTAATGGGGTCATAAGGTAATACTAGGTACACAAATTCGCCCCTGGCAGGCTGGACATTGGCTGCCTTCAAAAGGAAAACAAATGAGTCATTAAGTGGATGGACCACTGTCACATTGTACCTGGCTGCTGTTGTGTTGCCATAAATGGCGTGGAAGTTTATGTTTTCCTCAATGGCCACTCTGCCTTGTTCCACATCCCTGAACGAGAACGATTCCACCGAGTGAGAGGCTCCTCCAAGGTCAAATGTGACTTTGACTAGCTTGCCATGTTTTGGCGGCTCAAGGATTTCAAAGATGGGATCGCTAGCACTAAGGGAGGCCAATTCTGTTGCATCCAGGACGTCCTTTCTTAGCTTCACTGGGATGCCATCTGGGATCCTGACATGCTCTCCGAGGTGGATCAGTGGCTTGACTGTGATGTTGACCACCTGGTTGGTCAGGTTACTCTCAGATGTGAAAACCATGAACTCAAAGCAGTCTCGAGGGGATGACAGGTCAGTCATGTTGTAAAATATTCTGCCAGTGTGCAGGTCCTTTTGGTCAAAGTGTGTGGCTGGTTCTTCCATAACCATGACGCTCCCATGCCTTGGTGGGCTTGTGACTAAATACTTAATGGATGCATCTCTCTCATTGGTCACTGCGGCCAGGTTCTCAAATGTCAGAGTCACTGTGGTCTGGCCTTGCAGCAGAGTCAGTCCCGTGTTGTTGACCACACTGATGGTGATATTCTCTACCTCTACACTGAAGAGCTTGTAGAGTGGTCTGTGGAATCCATCAGTGATACTGAAGTAGATGACCCCTGATGAAAGTTCCCCTTTTTGTACAAAGTGCACCCTTCCATGATTTACATCAGCCTGGGTGAAGGTGCTGACAGACTTATTGAGCTGACCCTCCAAAGCAAGGAAGCCATTTTTGGGCTTGCTGATTACAGTATAAAAAAGCTCCTCAGGTGGAGTGTCTTGGTCCTCCACATAAAGGTTCTCAGGATCCAACGTCACGGTGTCCCCCTTGACCACTTTGAGTCTAGGGGATCCTGTCTTGAGCACAGGAGGCCGGTCATTAATAGGGGTCACAGTAATGTTAAATATTTCAGATACTATAAAATCTGCATTCTGAGGTCGTTGAGCATGCTTTCCTTTGGGGATTAGCCACACGTCAAAGGTAAAGTTATCATGAGTGGTCTCTGAGTCGTCATGTACGTAAATTATTCCATGCTTATGCAGGTTGAATTGAGAGAACTTTGGTCTTTCGTGTGTCAGGTTCTTTTCACCTACAACAATTGTACCGTGGTGGGGTGGAGAGATGATTTCATACCAGACCTCATAGAAATTACGTTCTGCTTCATCTAACTTTCCAAAAAGGTTGGAGGCATCCAAGTTTGGTTTATCAATGAGAACACTACTACCCTCAGCGACAACAGCACCTGAATAATAAATATGAATGTTAGTGTTATTAGTGTAAAGGTAATCATAATAATTGTTTTGTTTTTTCATTTGTTTTTCAAATAAAAATCACCAGAAGTCAGACATCATTACCAGTATTTGTTAAGAGTGCACTCCTATGCTCCGGGCCCGTATTTTCATAAGAGATGTGGATATTAAAGGTGTGAATTTGGAGAGATGCTGGGGGGCATGACGCAGTGAAGGTGAAGGAATCTGTAGCGGTCCATGCAACAGGTTTAGTCTGTGCATAGTGTTTTCAATGCAGCTAACCTCAGACCATTTCATGTCATCTACCCACTTATTAAACTATGACAGTTGAGTTATTGCAAAAAGATGGGCATTGTGACACTGTAAAATGATGAAACTATGGCACCATGTGCTTTTTATAGGTGAACTATAAACTATTTTCATAGGTTTACCGTTATATTATCAGCTCTGAAAATATGTTTGGATAAAAGCATCTGCTAAATGACAAAGTAAAAGTAAAGTAAAAGTATGGTTGGCTCAGATGCCAAGAGAGTGAAGTTTACATCTGAATTTCTTACTGCCCAAACAAAAATTGTGATGCCAAAAAATAAATTATTTGCTACAGATATGGGCTAGTGATGATTGTCATGACAACGACATGCAGGAGGTATGTGCAGACTTGCTTAAGTTGTTGGCCATACAGATATACCACAATACAATTTGTGTCTGAACAACTTTATTTTATTCTCAAATAATGTTACATGAAATTTAATTGTTTTGAAAAAGCAACTTTGAAATAATATACATCTTCTAAACATCTATGCTGGATGGCATCTGTGGTAAAGCATTTAAAATGATAAACGTTAACAGAACTCGCTAGCTCAAACGTAGTTTGAGTTTGTCTTAGCAAGCAGAGCACGTTCTTTCACCTAAAATAACAGAAGTCATTTAGTTTATTTATAAGTTAGAATAATCATATCCACTTTTTTCCTGAGTAACCGATGAGCGGCGTCATGAAGGATTCTAACTTCCGTTTGGATGCTGTCGTGTTCCGGTCTCCATAGAAATCCATGTTAAAATGGGGTAAAAAGACTGAATTAGACACTGTATATACAGTATACTGTATATATATATATATTATTTATAGAGTTTTAGCTTTTAGTTTTAATAACTTTTTCTTATTTGTAAGTTGCTTTGGATAAAAGCATCTGCTAAATGACAAAGTAAAAGTAAAGTAAAAGTATGGTTGGCTCAGATGCCAAGAGAGTGAAGTTTACATCTGAATTTCTTACTGCCCAAACAAAAATTGTGATGCCAAAAAATAAATTATTTGCTACAGATATGGGCTGGTGATGATTGTCATGACAACGACATGCAGGAGGTATGTGCAGACTTGCTTAAGTTGTTGGCCATACAGATATACCACAATACAATTTGTGTCTGAACAACTTTATCTTATTCTCAAATAATGTTACATGAAATTTAATTGTTTTGAAAAAGCAACCTTGAAATAATATACATCTTCTAAACATCTATGCTGGATGGCATCTGTGGTAAAGCATTTAAAACAATAAACGTTAACAGAACTCGCTAGCTCAAACGTAGTTTGAGTTTGTCTTAGCAATGCACCTATCCTTCACCAATTCCTCTTAACCTCAGACCATTTCATGTCATCTACCCACTTATTAAACTATGACAGTTGAGTTATTGCAAAAAGATGGGCATTGTGACACTGTAAAATTATGAAACTATGGCACCATGTGCTTTTTATAGGTGAACTATAAACTATTTTCATAGGTTTACCGTTATATTATCAGCTCTGAAAATATGTTAATTTGACTAGAAACTTCCACATTCAGGAAAAAGGTGGCTAAATGCTATTTAATATCACATTTTAAAAATAAATCAGCTTAAAGAACAAGTCACTAGGAGATGAGGAAGTGTAGGCACTATGTTCTAGCATTTCCTTTGTATGTTTACCGCGGAAGCGGTCGTGTGAAGACCGAAGAGTGTAAAGACCATCGACTCTATCGTGCGACTCCACCGGGCAGGACACCGGCAAAGGATAAGTATCGCTTTTTAACTCTCCTCTTTCCACTTCTGTTTCAGTTTTTTATAATCTATTTCTTACTATGTGTCAGTAAGTTGTTGTTATTTTAGCATGTGTGTTTGGCTCAGTGTTATTTTTTTAGGATTACTGATGAACTAATGTACTTATGCACAAATTTGATGGGTCTGTGGGAAGAAGATAAAATCTGTCATTTGAAAAACCAAGGTTGCAGTCATGTTTTACTGTTTTGATGTCCGTTTTTGTTTTGTTTGTTATATATAACTTAAATTGTAATTTCACAAATACTATACATATGAGTAGAATACATATTAGCTTAAAGGAAAAACCTCACCTTGAAAATTCTGTTGACAGTTACAATTGGAGGTTCATCATTTATGGGTGTTATATTGACATAAACCACAAAAGGAAAGCTTTGCTTCCGGATATCTGTATTATTGGCCACCACCGTAAAATTATCAGCCACGGTCTCACTTCCGTCATGGACATAGAATATGTATCCCTGTTCAGCCTGTGGCAAAAGAAAGTATACAATTCTTTTTTATTATAAAAACTACTAGTGAATACATTACTAGTGAATATTATCCTTTCATAACGATTATATATATACGTATTTATTTGACTTATATAAACTGTGATAAATGTATTGCCTTGTTTTAACCTTTGTTATATTGGAGTAAAGAGAAACAAAGTAAACAAGTGAAGAACAGAAACTCACTTGAGCCCTTGTGAAAGATGGAATTGGAACACCAGGGATCCTTGAGTGTTCAATTCGTCCATAATGAGGCCCCTCGGTTACAAGATAGAAGATTTGGAGTCCATGAAAGTGTTGTTTGACAACTTTGATGATGTCCTGAGTGAGAGCTTTAGAAGAACCCTCTATCAGGGTCATATTGGACACCTCTAGTGGGATGTACAAGGGTATAATATCCACTACGACTACAAGGTCACGGATTGTTAGAACGCCATTGGTTACGTCAAGTGAGAAAGAGTCATTAACATATCCATGCTCTGTTTGAACAAACTGAATATACCCTTCATTGATATCACCCTGTGAAAAGCTTTGGATGGGATTCTCCTGACTGCCACGGTAGTGATCTTCTAGCATAGATATCCGCAGAAACCCGTAGGTGGGTGCCACCTTCACAGTATACAAAATCTCAAAAGGTTTGTTATCCTCATGAACAACCTGGAACACACCACATAAGCACATCAAATAGATAATAGTCCACATTTTATAACCAAGTTATCTGAAAAATTATTTTGATTTTAATGAAGTAAAACTAACCTGGAGAACTTCCTTGTTGATTTTGACAGGCTTTCCTTCTTCCACCACAATTGGGTTATTGTGGATAACCCTTGGGGGCTTTTGATGACTCTCAAGGTACACCTTAACTAGCACACTTGCATCCAGACGGAGGCCTTTAACCTTGTTGGTGACGTTAAAAATGTCCTTCAGTATTTCACTGTCATCATGATGATACATTACATGACCTATCTTCAAGTCAAGTTGTGTAAAAGTATTTGCTTTTATACTATTGCAGTAAAGAGTCCCATGGCTTGGTGGTAGGAAAACCTCAAAGACCACTTCTTCATCATGCCTGACATCCATATTAGTGGAGATACTGAAATTAGCAATTCCTAAATTGGCCATTTGGCCTTTCTGGACCAATAGACCCGTGTTGTTTGCCACCTTAACAAATGGATCCTGGGCCGACACTTCAAGTAGTGTTGATGTATAGTGCTTCCCATCAGATATGAAGAGGACAAAGCGTCCATAACTCACCCCTTTGTGAATGAACAGCACTCTCTTCTCTTCTAAGTCCTTCTGATGGAATTGATAAAGCTTGTGTGTGGTGTCATTTACCAGGACCAGCTCACCCATAGGGATCTTTCGTCTGGTATAAAGCAGATCTTTGTCATTAAAGTCTGTGTCAGCGTCATGGTAGCACAAATCTTCCAGTGTAAGCAACCGCTGGCTGTCACGTACCACATGGAAAACTTTATCCACAACACGGATGGGTTTCTGATCATTAACCAACTGGATGGAAATAATAAATGTGCCCTCCGTGCCTCGGGTCTTATTTTTCAGAGACCCAAAAGAGGCCACGAATGTAAATGCATCATGGGTGGTTTCACTATCATCATGGATATACAAGATGCGTTCCTCTGAAATGTCCTGATTGGTGAAATCTATTATGCTGTCATTGCTGGCAGAGGAATTAGAGAGGTTTATTCTCTTCAATATCCCATGTTTAGGGCTGCTGGTGACAGTGTAGTGTACTGCTCTGGAGCTGGGTGTCTCTGAGAAAAGCATTGCCTTAGTAATGACCTTGCTCTCCCCTTCCAAGAGAGAAAGTCCATGATTTCTTAAAATGATGTTCTGAATATCTGCTTTGATAGTGATTCTGAACTCATGAATCCCTGACATGGCAAATTTCGAGAATACTTGAAAGTGAAACATGTCCCTTGTATCATCGTGTGGCCTTTCTAAGAGCTCGTATTGCAACTTGTGATTAGTAATGTCATCTTGACTGAAAGTAGAGTTCTTTTTTAAAATCTTATTATCGAGAAGAAGATGTCCTTTCCTTGGTAATGTCAATAAACGAATGTGAAGGTCATTTTCCAAAATTCTTGCACCCTTGGTAACAACATGAAATGTTTCAGTTGTCAATGTGACTTTCTGTTCACCGTCTATCTCCAACTTATTTCGGGTGATTCTATAACGAATCCAGTGTACTCTAATCAAAAACAACAACTCGTTCGTAATGACTGAGCCGACTGTGACTGTGCATTTGAAACTGTCAGTGATATTACTTTGCTGCGTCCCATGGAAGGTGCTGAGATATCGAAGACGCTCCTTTTCCAGAAGTTTTTGCATAAATGTGCTTGTTTGCTTCCACTGCCCACTTGAATGCAGTCTTTGCAGCTCACCATAGACTGGTGGCACTGTGATATCATAGCGAATGTCCACGGCTTGTTTAGGAACATTGACTTGCACAGCAAGATGTTTGTTACTAATAAACGTTGCTTCACCTTGGGTTACCTCTACTCCGGTGTTGTTGGCAACCTTGTGTTCTAGGGGAACAGCGATGATCCTGAGTACCACTGTGTTGCTTACCTTGTCCCCATCACTCACCCTAATAGCCATTCTGGAGTTCTTGACACCTTTGTGGACATAATTCACTTTACCCTGCTCTAGATCACTTCGGGAAAATGAGGTAACTGCTCTGCCCGGCTGTTCCTCGATCTCTAGAAAGCCTGAACCCGCATTCAGGTTTCCAAGGACTGAGAACATCAGGTGTTTGGAATTAGTGTCAGGGTCGATGACCCTAAGGACATCTGTGCTCATACGACGTCTTGAGTGCTCCAGCAGAATGAAGAGACTGCCCTCAGGAAGGCTAAGTTCAGGAGCATCATTGACAGGTGTGATACTGATGTTAAATGCTTGTTTAGGAACATTGACTTGCACAGCAAGATGTTTGTTACTAATAAACGTTGCTTCACCTTGGGTTACCTCTACTCCGGTGTTGTTGGCAACCTTGTGTTCTAGGGAAACAGCGATGATCCTGAGTACCACTGTGTTGCTTACCTTGTCCCCATCACTCACCCTAATAGCCATTCTGGAGTTCTTGACACCTTTGTGGACATAACTCACTTTACCCTGCTCTAGATCACTTCGGGAAAATGAGGTAACTGCTCTGCCCGGCTGTTCCTCAATCTCTAGAAAGCCTGAACCCGCATTCAGGTTTCCAAGGACTGAGAACATCAGGTGTTTGGAATTAGTGTCAGGGTCGATGACCCTAAGGACATCTGTGCTCATACGACGTCTTGAGTGCTCCAGCAGAATGAAGAGACTGCCCTCAGGAAGGCTAAGTTCAGGAGCATCATTGACAGGTGTGATACTGATGTTAAATCTGTGCAGACGGTTCCCTTTGAGATAGCTAGGCACTTCCTTATTGACATTGGTGAAGATGGAAAACATGAAAAAGTCAAGTAGGTCCTCAGATCCTCCATGGACATACATGACCCTTCCATGCCAGAGATCCAGAATACTGAAGGTGTTCTCACCCAGATCAGGGTCAATATCCAGTCGGAGTTGCCCATGGACCGGCTGCTCTTCAACACGAAACATAATCTGGGACTGACGGATCCCAAGTTTACGGAACTCTAGGTTAATCTTAATGTGTTTAGACTCAAGTGCTGCCCGTCCGCCTTCAAGAACCTCCAAATCCTTGAGTAAAAGGAAATTTCTCTTGTCCATCCCAGATAGGACATCTGTGATATTTTCAGAATCTATGGTAATAACTAATGGACTTGTGGTACTGGGTCCAAGCTGCTTTTCTGGTTCACAACCAACTGAAATATCCTTGGTGACCAATGCTTTTGGAAGGCCCATCCTTTGGTAATTGACCCTGATATTCCTAAGACAGCCTTTAATTGACCCTCCTCCTATGCGCTTCCCAACCATAGAGAGCAATCCATACTTTTGGACTTCTGTGTAAGTGCTGACATCGACCCCACCTAGGAACAGAGGTCCAGTAAACTGTAACGCACTGGCATTTATCCCAAAGCTAGAATTATGCATCTCCAAACCCAAAGTAAAGTGAAGATTCAAAGGAGACAAATAGAGCCGCAAAATGTGCCATGCCCCATCATTGACGACCATCAAGGAACGCAATCTCTTGTCCATCCCAGATAGGACATCTGTGATATTTTCAGAATCTATGGTAATAACTAATGGACTTGTGGTACTGGGTCCAAGCTGCTTTTCTGGTTCACAACCAACTGAAATATCCTTGGTGACCAATGCTTTAGGAAGGCCCATCCTTTGGTAATTGACCCTGATATTCCTAAGACAGCCTTTAAATGACCCTCCTCCTATACGCTTCCCAACCATAGAGAGCAATCCATACTTTTGGACTTCTGTGTAAGTGCTGACATCGACCCCACCTAGGAACAGAGGTCCAGTAAACTGTAACGCACTGGCATTTATCCCAAAGCTAGAATTATGCATCTCCAAACCCAAAGTAAAGTGAAGATTCAAAGGAGACAAATAGAGCCGCAAAATGTGCCATGCCCCATCATTGACGACCATCAAGGAACGCAATGCTGTCTTCGTTACACCTATTTTAATGATAGCAACAAGGTGACCTTTTTGGATCTCCAGGGCAAAATAGTTACCGTGGCCCGCAGAGCTGTATAAAAGGATCCCCTCTGAATGTACTGTATGCATTTCACATTCAAATACACCCTCTTGGGGTACGTCCCATGTTGGTAGGGACATGTATGCTTTGGAACTGAAAAAACTTATTGAATCGTTGACAGAGGCTGAAAACTGTGGGCTGCAACCAAGTGACACTTCATGAATCATTTTGTATCCAGAGTAAGGCCTAAGGGAGGAAAGGAGGTTATGCTCATTGAACAGAATCTCATCCAAACATCCCCGAAAGCCAAAAGGAATTTCATTTGCGGAGAGGTAGGATTTTTCCAGATCCCCAACACCACCAACAAAAAGTCCATCCTGGACATCCAGTTCAAAGTCAGGTCCTGGCATCTTAACAGATGTTATAGAGTTTTTGTCCACAGTCAGCGTGATGTTGTCATGATCATGTTGAAGTTCTACTGTATGCCAGGTCAGATCATTTAAGGGGATACCCTTCTCAGACCGAACAGTCCGTTCCCCAGATCCAAGCTGAATCTGCACCTGACAGAGATGGACAGAATATCTTTACAGTAATGTAGGAAATAATCTTTTAAAAAGCGAATTACTCCCGGTATCGCTAAGAAACTCATACTACATTAACTGCATGCAACAGAGTTACCATGTGAGTATTCCTCAGCATGAAAAGACTTGTCAGTACAGTGATGCATGTGGAGGTTTAGACTACGAACAGAACTTTTCTGTCTGGAAGCAACATGAAATCACTTGCCTTTTGTTTTTGCCTGTGGGCACAAAATATCTGTGTTGAGTGCGTACCTTATTACAAGTCAGATAAATGTAACTGCCATAGATGGGTATAAGTTTAGGCTCAGTAGGAAGAACACTCATTTTTAAGAATCCAACATACTGTAATTTAGCAAATTCATCTGAACTGATCAACATATGCAACATTTCAAATCTCAGCCTCTTACAGCAGTTGCAAAACTACAATGATCTCAGACAGTGATTTTTCTGTATTCTTATGCCAAAATATTATTTCAGTTTTTGACTCATCACTGAAATTAATACGCACTCTATTCTAGAAAATGCATAAGAGAGACTAATGAATAATATGCAATTAAAAGTTACAAAACATCAAATTACACATTACAATAAAGTCTATACCTACATATAGTGTTGTTTATGAAGACCTCTTTTTAGTCAAATCATTTAAATGTAATTTATTTAATTAATCACCTGTACTCTGCCAGAATGCAGCCCAACCCAGAGGAAGTTCGTTTCCCCAGCTGCCAAGAATAGCAGGCCACTGGGTCTGGAGGTTCGAAACCGCACATGGAAAGACGTCTGACTTGACAACTCAACTGCTTTCAAATGCACAAGCCCATCTCCATAGAAAGAAGCTGCAAGGTCATTTGTACTAGGATTAGTTTTTTTCTTTCTTTCATGAAACCCCTATTGATGCATGTGTTTTATAATACTATGCTTAATACAGCATATACATAATCATTACACATTTTGCACTTTACAACAGTAAGGGCAAAGGACACATTCCTTAAAACAAAATGCCAGAGAGTAGATGTCTTGCTGTTTGAGAAATAAAACACATACATTTAAATTACTTAATTTCATCCCCTTAAAACAAGCTTTTGTCTCTCCTCATAAGTGCATGGACTATTCTTACATACTGTACGTATGGTTAAGTTAGATGCTGCTGTTGTCCCCAGTAAATTAAGAGTTTTATTGGCCTGAACAGCTCTGTGACAGCTGCTCTGTGCCTAATGCAGTTTAGACTAAGTGCTGTTGTGCCTGCAGCCCTCCAATGCTGTATCAGAATTCAATTAATGCATTTTAGAGCACAATAGTAGAGTTTAATTTCTAGAGCACTGTGTCAAAGAAGTCAATATGGATATGCACAGTGACTGGGGATGAACATGCTTTTCAAAATGCAAACCATAGGCTACTGAGTTAGTAGAGCGGGGAATATTTACTAATTCAATTGCTCAAATTTGATTATTCGACCTGTGAGGGACAGATTGTAAAAGTATGTCCAAGTTACTGTATAAACTAGTCAAGCACTACAGTCTATAACATCCATCCCTAAAGCACTTTTTATGCATTATGGACACTGGGATAAAGAAACATCGCATGAAAGTTCCATAACTTTGAAATCATTTTTACCCAAACTAAATATTTATAATTTAAATACAGAAGAATTACACTCATAACAGTATTTAAGTGATGAATACGGGGGATCATATTTTTAAACGCTTAAAGCAACATTATCTCATCTTTCTAGAAATGTTAAGATGTTTGTAAAAATGCATTTAATTGCGGATTACTGTCTTTTATCTGTTTTAGGACTGGGGAAGGTCGCTTCAATTCATGCTGCAAGTAAACAAAATGAATTTAGACAGATCGGATTATATCTAATCCCATATCAGGCATGTGCAGAAGTGACTTTGTACAGCGAGGCATTAATTACTGCATACATGTCACTATATCCAAATGAGCTGTTTATAAATTATCATTTATATTTTATGAACAGAATAATTGAAGCCAAACTTCAGACGAAACTAGAGATATATGAACTAATGAAAACAAAACTAGGCCTATATGTAGTTTTAGTCTCAAAATAAATCATTAAATTATATGATATTAATTATATTATTATATTATATGACTAATTTCGTTGGTCAACTCACCTCCGAAAGCTTTTCCACCAATCAAAGAGAGCAGCACAAACACGCGCCACAAAAACTTTTGCTCAAAGGAAATGTGAATCCACATGTTTCATAGCATTTCAGATCAATTCAAATGTAATGCCTTAAATCACTGTTAACTTTAAATGGCTGTACCTGCATCTAAACCCATCATCTAAACAAGTCCACGGGCGTGAGACAGGTTTCCCCGCCCCTTCATGCATATTCATAGCGCTCACGCCATATATTACGGAGAAATGGCCCCGCCTCTTCATTCATATTATTCAGTATGCTTATACTTTTCTACAGTAACAGTAATGAAAGGTGGTGAAATCTTAAAGCTGCAGGCTAATATTTTAAAATTATATTTTATATGTAGTCTATTTGATGTTTTACTTATTTTTCATGTTTTATAAATATAGCATACATTTAAAAGTCCCAGCATTTATAATCATAATAAATATAAAATAATTATGAATGTTATTATATAAATAATTATATAGGCTATATAATATTAGTCGAAAAATAATTTATATTCAACATCTGCGGTTACTGGTGTGAAGATGTTGAATTGATAAAGTGGTCCTTGTAAAAATAAATGGACTGTTTTGATTTCTGCAGACAAAATGACCAAGTGCTTGATCACCCTCTTTGCAGAAATCAAAACAGTTTATTTATTTTTTTACAATAACCACTAGGGGGCGCCATCACACTACATAAACTATGAAAACATCCCTTAAACCTTAACACTGTTTTTTTCATAATGAGTGTTAAAACTAATTACATAGCTTCATTTGTCTTTGTCGAAATAATAATTAAATATGAAGTTTCTTAATCTCCTTGAAATCACACCTTTACACACAGATCATAACAAAGCTTGCAGGTTAGAATCTTTCCCTCACAGGATTATATATACAGTGGGTACGGAAAGTATTCAGACCCCCTTAAATTTTTCACTCTTTGTTATATTGCAGCCATTTGCTAAAATCATTTAAGTTAATTTTTTTTCTCATTAATGTACACACAGCACCCCATATTGACAGAAAAACACAGAATTGTTGACATTTTTGCAGATTAAAAAAGAAAAACTGAAATATCACATGGTCCTAAGTATTCAGACCCTTTGCTCAGTATTTAGTAGAAGCACCCTTTTGATCTAATACAGCCATGAGTCTTTTTGGGAAAGAGGCAACAAGTTTTTCACACCTGGATTACATTTTATTCTCAGGCCAGCGTAATTAAATAACTTCTTTATTAAAGGTAAATGTATTTGCCCAACAATAAGTAATTGACAATGTTAATTTTGTATTTTCATTTTCTTTTTAATCATATAAAAACATACTGTATTAAACACAAAATGTTATCACAATATTTCTGTGACAAAAATGTTTTTTAAAAAGTGTTTGTAGGATGTGGCTGTACAAGCTGGGATGGTATTTATTCAAGTACTTCAGAGCAATTCCACAATATATAAATATTGTATCACTCAGTACCTTGGTATATCAAAGTACCATGGTATTACCTGATACCATCACAGTTTGGAACTCAAACAGGGATTGCAGACTGTCTATCTGACAGCTACAGTTCACTATGGTGCCTGCAGAGGCAATAAACCCAATATTAACCCAGTCATAGATATGCCAAGAATAGCAAATGTTAGGTAACACACACACACAAAAAAAATTATCTGGGGCAAAATTTTCCAATTCTGACTCACATCCAACTGTTGCCAATAATGACTCCCTACTGTATGGTTAAACTCTGTATCCCACTGTCTTTTAATATGAGAGGGTTCCATCTGCCTTGTTCTTTAACATAAAACATAAAAGCTCTGTTTTTTCAGCTGCACTACTGAATCATCTTAACACTCTTATAAATAGCGTTCAGGGAAAACATGTTTGTTTTTGCCAAAGCTTTAAAACCCTGTTGTTTTTGAGTGCCAGTGAAGTGGCTGGGATCCAAATGAAGGGGAAGAGAACATAGCTAGGTCAGCACTGGAGCAGTTTGGAGAAACTGTTGACTGATTCACTTAATTCTGAATGTCCGTAATTGTTCCAAACGAACACAAGCCAGGCCTGTATCCTGTGATATAGAGCAGCGTGTTCTGGACCATGTGTTTACTGCCATTCATTTGGCTGTGGTGGGTGGAGATCAACCGCTACATCAGGAAAGACTTATGGATCATTTTGGCAAATGTAAACATGTCTTCAATGAAACATGTTCTTAAAGGAATAGTTCACCCAAAAATGGAAAATTAGCTGACGATTTACTCACCCTTCGGGCCATCCAAGATGTAGATGAGTTTGTTTCTTCATCAGAACAGATTTGGAGAAATGTAGCATTACATCAGTTGTTCACCAGTGGATCCTCTGCAGTGAATGGGTGCCGTCAGAATGAGAGTCCAAACAGCTGATAAAAACATCACAATAAAACACACCACTCCAGTCCATCAAGTAACATCTTGTGAAGTGAAAAGCTGCATGTTTGTAATAAAACAAATTCACCATTAAGACATTTTTAACTTTAAACTCTTGCTTCCAGCTAAAATACAGTCTATAATACAATATTGCTCCCTCCAGTGAGAAAGTTGTCTCATCTGAATCAGGAAAGAAATATGCACAGATCAAGCACTGTTTATAAGCGAAAATAGTCCAAAACATTTCTAAACAAATATGTTGGTCTGAGAGGACAAAAGGGGATTTTCAATGGAGGAAGCGTTATTATGAATTATGGACTCATATTTTGGCCATAAGTGACAGTTTAAGTGAAAATATCTTAATGATGGATTTGTTTCTTACAAAAATGCAGCTTTTCACTTCATTGGACATTAACTGATGGACAGGGTTCATGTGGATTATTGTGATGTTTTTATCAACTGTTTGGACTCTCATTCTGACGGCACCCATTCACTGCAGAGGATCCATTGGTGAGCAAGTGATGTAATGCATTTCTCTAATTCTGTTCAGATGAAGAAACAAACTCATCTACATCTTGGGTGGCCTGAGGCTGAGTCCATTTTAAGCTAATTTTCATTTTTGGGTGAACTGTTCCTTTAAATACACAAGTTTTACATTTAACAAACTATATGATCTGTTAATGTAATGAGACCTGAATATTCAAACTAAGAAATGCTAAGAAAAGTTTTAAGAGAAAATATGGTTGTTTCAAACACATTACTGATCTTGAAATGGTTGCATAACGAAAATGAAGGGTACATTTCCCCCCCCCCAAAAAAGCCTATTTTTTTGGAGATTACCAAATATGCAATGTCCCTGAGACTGCTCCAAAACCCACAAGTTTTGATTTGACAGATCAGTGTCGGCTTCCATACACTCTTAATTATTTCAATATGCAGTGGACGGAAAAGGCCTGCTCTGGACTGAGTAACTGGGCTACATGCATACTTTATTTGTGGATCATGGTGTAGGCTGACACCAGATTGCATAACAATCCACTTTTTTGGAGCTCTGACTGCCATGAGACAGGCCGTATCCGGAGTGTACATAGACAGTAGGCCTCTGGAATAAGTCTGGGATTGTGCAATAGCAAAACAATTGAAACCAGACAGCAAATGCTCCTGCTAATTCTGATATGTTCTCTTTGATGCACATTTAAAGAGGAATTTAAACCATTTATAAACACAGAGTTATCGATTACATTTACGCATTTAGCAGACGCTTTTATCCAAAGCGACTTACAGTGCATTCAGGCTATACATTTTTTACCAGTATGGTAAAACGATTAGCATTTGGTTGGCCTAAAGCTGTGGTGTCCTTACAATTAAACATTAAATTCCTTGATATTACCACAAATTGCATATATTTATTAACGTGATATAGCCTACTTTTATATTAGAAATATAATTTTAGGGACTTTTTTTTTAACTTTTATTCAGCAAGAATATGTTAAATTGATTAAAAGTGACAGTAAAGGCTTTAAAAAATCATTTTTAATAAATTAACTTTCTATTCATCAAAGAATTCAGAAAGAATGTATCATGGTTTTCACAAAAATATGAAGCAGCACAACTGTTTTCAACATTTATAATAAAAAAAAATTCTTGAGCAGCAAATCAGAATATTAGAATGATTTCTGAAGGATCATGTGACACTGAAGACTAATGATGCTGAAAATTCAACTTTGCATAACAGGAATTAATTACATTATATATTCAAATATATTCAAATAGAAAATTATTTAAAATTCTAATATTATTTCACAATATTACTGTTTTTATTGTATTTTTTTTATCAAATGCAGCCTTGGCCAACATTAATATCTTACCGACCCCAGACTTTGGAACAGTAGTGTTTATATATTTGTTAAATAAAATTAACTTTACAATTTAGGCATTTGACAAAAGTATTCAGAATGCTGGGTTTATATGCTTAGAAAAATGGCCTCATAATGCCCCTGAAATGTATTTAATGCATAACCTGCTGTCTGCAACCCTATCAGAACAGAGCTGCGATCCATTTTTGAGAACCACTGCCCTAAAGCATTCAGCAATGGCATGCGTATAAACACAAACAAACATGTAAACACAATCTGACTGATATTTAGATTGCATTCAAATTCAATCAGCGTGGATCTGCATGCCTGCAAGACACTGCAGATGAAGGCTCTACACTTAGGCAGAGGCCTCAGTGCTCAGGGGAATTCCTCTGACATCTGATCCGCTCAATCTAGACACCTGATGGAGGGAAGGGCCAGCTGGTGGCCCTCAAACACTACTGGGGATGAACAACTACATTGTACATCCATTATACACATATAATGATGAAAGGCAAGCACTTGTGAGAGAGAGCAACAGCAAAATCATTAAAGATCACAATTTACTATATACTGTATATATATATATATATATATATATATATATATATATATATATATATATATA